TGTGGATCCCCGTCTTAACTCTTACGCAATGAAAGAGGCCGGCTTTTGTTTGACTCAGAATGTAATGGAGTCATGGAAGGTTCAGTTTGGCTTTACCCAAGACATATATTCTAGTGTAGCTTAAACACCTGTTCTACTGTACCCAAGAAATCTACTCTATTATACCCAAAACATATATTCCACCATACCCGAGACATCCACAAAACGTCTCTTCTACTGTATTCAATCACCCGTATTCACCAGGCGCGAGTAGTGCCTGTTTAACCACTGACTAGCGACGTCATCGACTAAAATGATCACGTGGCAAGCGATAGTCGCCGCTAAGTGAGCGCTTGGTATTCACCGGTCGTGTTTAGGGCCTAGTCGCCCCGTGCGACTATGGAGTCGACTAACAAATCTTAGTCATGGGGTAGGGCTAGTTTGGCCGGTGTTTAGCGGGCGACTAGCGGCTTAGCGCCATGGCCGACTCGTATCACCGCTGACCGCCAGCGCTATAACAAAGCACTTACTGTCTCGGAACGCTGGGGGACATATATAGAAAGAATCGGAGGAGTAAATATTGACTAAATAGCCATGTTCAACGGCCAGAGACATTGCTAAAGCGATCTCGGCAGGGCGGTGGACGGCGCGAAGAAACGCATTTACGGGCGCTTCCATATTCGTTTATGTCGCTGGCAATGCGGCTTCCGTGTTTCTCCCTGGCGTTGTTTTGAAATGTTTCGTTGTAAAACTCTGTCTAAGACAATATGTCTCTCATTGTAACTTTTTTTTCCTGATAAACATTTAAATATTAGTTTTTATAGGATAAAATACCCATTTACGCAGCGGCGTTGAAGTTCGCGTGCCCGTGGCCTATCTTTTTGTGTCACTTCCGCTTCTTAGTTCTGACTAGATAGTCACCCGCTCGCTTCGCGCTCGTGAATACCGCAGAACATAATCGCTCGTTAGTCGCGGATTTCTCGTTTAGCTCGCAACTACTTAGTCGTGCTACTAACCTTAAAACGCCGCTAGTTAGCCGCGCCTGGTGAATACGGGTGCTTATGTCTAGTCGACTGTACTCAAAACATATTCATTTTATTGTGCCCAATACATATATTTTCTATTTTACTGTACCCAAAGATCTATCCTATTGTACTTAAGACATCTGTTCTATGTACTCAAAACATCTATTTTACTGTACCCAAAACATATATTCTACCATAGTATACCCAAAACACCTATTCTACTGTATCCCGATTTATTCTACCGTATTCAAAACATCTATTCTACTGTACCCAAAACATATTTATTTTACTGTACCCAAGACATCTATTTTACTAGTGTACCCAAAACATATATTTATTTTATTGTACCCAAGACATCTGTTCCACTGTACCCAAAACATCTGTTCTACTCTATAGCCCAAACATCTATTTTATTGTTCCCAAAACATCTGTTCCAAGTGGCTCCAGCTGCACTTCCTTCCACTCAGCTGGAAATAATCAAACCTGCATACAAGCGGCTGAATGAATGCAGACCCTGCATTACCGGGAAGAAACAAAAACCTTTTTTCATGTCTTCCTTTTACTTTTGAAAGGCACCTGTAGACTTTCAACTTGTAAAGAATGAGTGTGTTACTGTGAGGGCCACAATACAAGAGAAGTCTGTTTTAACAGAATTTTTTTTTTTTTTTTTTTTTTGGGGGGGGGGGGGGTTGTAAAGAAATGTTAGTATGAGGACAAGAGCACTGAGAAAAATCAGCTTAAAAAGTGTTTTTAAATATCATAGAATTTGATCCTTACTTTAATTACATTATTTTGTCTTCTTTCTTAGGCCTTTTCCTCATGTCCTTTTCACTATAAATGTGTTTAAAATCCTAAGAGATGCCCCACCCCCCAAAGATAGCCCACCCCTATTTTTGGCTTGATTTGCTATATTTTCTTAAACACCGAAAGATAGCCCCCTCTTAGTAATGCTAGTGTTGGGATCAATGATGGCCTCGGCGTAAATGCGGCTAGTTATAGCTATGGCGGGATATAAGTAAACATTTCTGACTGGGAAGTGCAGTCATCTTTGCTTCGTTGCCCCTCGCCACCATAACAAGCTTGGAAGAATTTTTTAAGCTTTTCTTGATTGTACATGAAAACTTGGCACATTCAATATTTTCATCCGATTTTCTCTTAATGTAAGGTGGGCTATCTCTCAAGATCTTATGATATATATATATATATATATACACTTTTTTTTTCACTTTGCGTAGAAATAATTTACTGACGATACTGTTTTCAGTCGCTTTTTTCGTTTAATTTGTGTAAAGCATACAAGATAAGGTAGGAAACATTAGCACCTAGAAACAAAAGTCTGGGCTTCTGTTCATCTATGAAGTCCTTGGATTTGGTGGAGAATTAGACCCGTGAAATTTAACTTTACGTCGTCCAACATGAAGACTTTGTAACTACTAAGGATGATGCTATATTATATGCATCCTCTAAATCTGCTACTGAATGGGAGCAACATAATGCTTACAGATTATCTGTGTCTAGCACTCTGAAGTTTTTTTTTGTTTTTTTTCCCCATTACTGACGCTTTCCTATTGCATTCTATTTTCTTTTTTTTTTCCGCATTGATCGTGAAGTAAGGGTGCGACGCACATAAGTATCGCTCTTCATTGTGTTACTTGTTATTTTGTTAAAATGGAACAGGAAGGTTGTATACATACATACATCTGGCTTCACTGCCATTGTTGTTGAGTGCTGGCGCCGTTTGGAGCCACAATGTACAAGCCCAGTGCGTCACTCTGCCGACAGTTTCAAAGTTCTATATTGTAGAAGACCCCAGAATGTGTTTTGTGCCTGTGGGGCAACATGTTGGCATTATACTATTTCGGAAACAGATGCTGGATGTATCTCGGGCGCCTGTTAAATAAACCAGACTTAGCAAAGTGACTCTTGAAAGGAAGCTTTGCCTCGTGTTTGGTTGTCGTGGATTGTTGCAAAAGGTGTACCGTATAAAATCTTTTCCCTGTTGAATGTCTTAATAGTGATAAAATATTGCGAAAGTATTGTGAAGGTGTTTTTCACATGATAGGTTTACCAATAGGGACAAATTGCCCCCTAAAAATGTATGTTCAACTTGAAATCTTTCTTGTTTTTCTGCCTGTAAACTCTTGTTTAACCTATTCCCTACCGCGCACGTCGCGCGCTGCCGGGCCGTTTATAGCGCATGTTTTTCCCCTAAAGATGGTGAGGAAATGGTCTCACTGGGCGTGACTACTTTGCTTGTATGATAAGCTTTTACAATAAAGCTTGGTGCAGAAAACAAGAAAGCATGTTTATTTACATGCTTAAGTGGTTTGTTCAAATCTTTAAATCAATAGGCCGTCGCAGATTCTTCATCGTATGAAATATCTCGAAGCACTCCATCCTCGATTGCTTAGGTGTCGCACAACCAGTGCGCTGTTGTCGAGATTCAGACTCAGAACTGCTGTCGGAATTGCTCCCATCATCGACAGAAGGCTTTGAAAACTCACTATCCTCACCAGACGTTTCGTCATCATCGCTGTCGAATAGGATATTTATGATTTCATTGTCAGAAAGGCCACACCGTACACGGGACGCTGTCGTCTTCTCCAAGCAGGCGGCGATTGAGCGGGAAAGACAACATATAAAAGAACAAGCTCAAACAAACACAGCGAACAGAACGACCCTCGCCATCTGTTGGCAATGTATCTAACTACACTACCCCAATTCTGCATAGCGCACCATCTATGAATGTCTCTTTAAAACAGAAATTCATGCAAACCGGCGAATTGCTGGCTTTAGCAATATGGCCCCTGATGGCACGCCCGGCGATTTGCCAGCTTTTATAGCGAATGGGTTTCTGACATTCGAGGCTGCACTCGCTCCCTTTTTCATAGTCGCATGTGGTGGTGGCATAGCGGACAAATTATTTTCGAAGTCGTAAGCCATTTAAAGGTCCACTGAAGAGGATTCTGCAATTGTCTCTTCTTGGTCATAACCGATTCTAGGGCCCTAAGCATCCTAAAAATTGAAAAATTACAATCACAAGACGCCGTTTTCTCTATTGAAATTGTGATGAATAGTCGGGACACACCACTTTTTGAGTGGATTTTTTCCACACGAGAAAGGCGGGGCATACTCCAGCAGTGGTGTCAGCGCGGTGACGATGAGCACTTGTCTTGTGATTGTAAATTTTGAATTTTTAGGGTGCTTAGGGCCCGTAGTGTCAGTCATGACCAAGAACATACAATCGCAGAATTTTCTTTAGTGCGCCTGTAAGGCAGATAGATGTTGGTCAATAAAAGCGATAGAATCCACAAAACATAATCTTCATGACTAAAGAAACACCACAACTCCTATACACTATGTCTGATTGCACCACGCCGGCTAACTGGTTTTGATTTCAATTTGTTTTCCTTAGCAGAAGTGAAAAAATATTTTGGTTGATGTCTTGGACCCCATAATCTATTATTTTGCTAAAAAAAAATTTAAAAAATTTTAGAGGTCAGTGTTTGTTTAACACAAAGTAAAATTTAGAACTTTTACCTGCCAAGCTAACTAAAGGGCGGAAAACTGAGGGTTACCTAATTTCGACCACCTGGGAATCCTATAATGTGCAACCGAAATCTCGTTTACACGGTGCCTTCCCCACAAGTAAGCCTCCGTCAGATTGCGGGCACCTCAGCCGGGATTGGAACCCTCCACCTGGGGATCCGTTGGCCAGCGCTTTGCCTCAGGATACCTTTAATACTAATTTCAAGGCTGCCTTTCTTGCCATTGTAACAAATGGCGCTGCTCTGATGTAAAACTTTCCGCTGCTCTGATGTAACGATGTCTGATGCACACAAGACGCCGGTTTCCGCAGCGGTGAAAACCGGCGTCTCGTGTACGTCTGTGACACCGTGCAGGACCTTTGACTTCTCTTTTCGTTTTGAGCATGGATCAAGCGTAAGGCATGATCTTGTTTAGGTAATTTTGCTCTCTGGTCTCTTTCCCCCAAAGTGTTACTACTGCTCGGAGACCAGGAGGTGCGGCTACTACCCCTACAAGAAGCTCATCCCCAGCCATGACGAGTGTGCCGCTTTCTCCGAAGTCTACTGGGGAATCTGCTTCAGTGAGTGGCATTGCGTCCTGCTCAAAGCTGTACCTTCAAAACCGGTTCATTTTCCGGTTCGGGTTTCTAGAAGCGAGAAGAGTGTATCTCTCGGACACACAAAAACGCAAGCGGGAAAAATTTACTTGTCGTATTTAACGAAGGCATGCTCTTGTTTGAGGGTGAGGGGTGACAGAAGCGTGTCCTTGTAAAAAAGTTGACTTGTTGAACGACGCGACGAGCAACCTGCTCCTAACTCTTCAATTTGTTTATGCTTCGCTGTAGCTGATGCTGGCTGTAGTAGTCTGTTTCAGGTTCAGAAAACCAGGACAATCTCCCCTCCTACAAATCCCTCCATTCTTTTCACTTTAGCAGAGCAAAGGCTGGAAGGAGGCCAGTGGAGAAGAAGAAACTGCCAATTATAACAAGCACAGAGCTTTGTGGCCTTGTCCTGCTTTGTCCTGCTTTTCTTAAAGCCTTGTCCTGCTTTTCTTAAAGGGACCATGAAATGACCTTATTACTTTTGCCAGATAACTTTTACATTAAACCTTCAGCGTTCACTGAATGCCGAACAGGCATCCGTTTTAGTCTCGGTTTATTACTTCTACACTAAAAATTAATGAAATATTGACTTTTTCTTTCTCTCCAACTGACCGCAAAACAAGTTGCGGCATAATTTTGATGGTCATGACGTACTCTGGCTCAGGAACCAGAAGTTTTCTTGGCAGTAGGAGAATCGGAGCATTAGCGGCGGCGAGTGGGGTGCACCGGTAGGTTTTACTGCGCTGATGGCGCTGATGTCACAGACTTATTTTTTTAATTGGCGCCTCTCATCGTCACGATAGCCGTGGACACATGGCAGCTGAGCGAAATTCAATTGGATATGTTGCACTACAGCGACACCATGGGACTAGTCCCATACGCCGCTATGCCTTTTGGGAAGTGCGGCGAGTCTTCCGACGAAGACTCTAGTTCTTCCTCGGAATCAGACTATGAGGAGTAGGGTGGCTTCAAAGTATGAAATGGTAGGTTATGTTTCGGCCGTATATTCAGATGTACGGAAGTAACAGAGATATAAAATGTTTTGTTTCTTTGAAGGTGCACTTGCAAGTGGTGCATGGTAGGGCCTACCGCTCGAGAGTGCTTCTGCTGCCGGGAGTGCGTCACCACCGTCTTAATTCAAAACAACGGCCGCATTTGCGGAGTACACTGTGAATGTGGCTGTAATCACGCTCGGTGTTAAAATGTTCCGAGCATACGCGAATGACCATAGACCCGGGGTCCTGCAAACCGATGAGCCTGTACCAAGTGCTTCGACGTGGTTCATCAAGTGGCACAGTGAAACTTCAACTGTTTCTTTTTAACCACCGGACTGCAGAAACTGTAATTTAGGCACTTTGGTACACTGCAGCCTTTTGGGATAGCAAATGTCACAAACAATGTAAACCCTACACGAGCAGCGAGCAAATGAAAGTGCTATGCGAAGCAGGAGCAAACCCGTTCAGCAGACGTTGCTCGTCGCTTGACTGTGCAAGCGCAGTAAGGTCTTTCTCTTGCTTCATTTACCACACGATAGATGGCGCTTGGCTCTGAGCATTATCAAATTTGGCAATTTTCGTCACATCTCTAATTAAACTCATCTCTAACAAAACCTTCTAGCTATTTATTGTTTATGATCGCGGTGCTAGTGAGGTAGGCTCTTACCCAATAGGTGATGTGGATTTGGCTGACGTGCTGCAGTTCAGCGTATGCATCGCAGAGAGCTTTCAAAGGAAAAAACGTGCAAAAGAGTCCGGTTTTCTTTTATAAGTTCTATAGCGAAGAAGTTTTGTTGGCTCCCTATTTTTGTGTTTCTTTTCACACCTTTTACGTTGTGCAGTGGATGTAATTCGATTTCAGAATCGTTTCATGGTCCCTTTAATCTGCAACAGACCAGAATAGTTACTCATTTAACAGAAGCGATAGCCGGCTCCTGAAATGGAAAATACTGTTACGAGGCAAGTATTGCCGCTGGTTGGTGCCAGTCCTTCACCGAGTACGTTCCCCTATTGTTAACCTGGTAAATCCGTTATCAATAAAAGGCCAAGCTTGTCTCAGTTTAGTTTTTAAAACTGAGAGCAACAGACCTTTTTCAGAAGACTGTCCAGGGTCATACCCAGCGCTTTAATGGCGACATTCTGCAGCTTCTCCATGTCAGGAAATGTTAACCTTTTTGACAGCATACGGCAGAAAACGAAGAATTGATTTTACCGAATTGGTCTTTTTACACTGCCCTCAGTTCACGAAGTTGAGGCTGCTTGAAGTTGAGTGATCTCGTTCTCTTATCGCTGTGGTTAGTTCAGAAATATTAAAAGAGTTTTTGAGACTGCTGGGGTAGGGACAAGGGTGTACTAAGGCATGAGATAAGAGACTTGTTCCAAAACTCGAAGCGGCTCATTGCGGCGTAATGCCACGTTATGCATTGTGGCAATCAGAGGGCAGCAAAATCCATAAGCGCTTCGCTCCTGGCCCACAGGTTCTCATAGTGCAACATGTGCAGTGACAGATTTATGGAAGTAGTCTATTGGAGTAGCCGTGCATACTTTTGAAACAAGAATTGAATGTACTAGCAAAAGGTTGGCTGCTTTCAAGCTTCTCGCTTACATATTTATTTCTTCGCTTACTGTTGTCCTAGCCTGACATTCTGTTTTAGAATCTGCTTCAGTCTCAGGTTTACTCTATACTTGCATACCAAATTAGCTCTGATGTTAACCCTAATCTAAATTATTGGTTTAATTGTGTAACCATAGAGTTATTATAATGTGCGCTAGAGGTTCAGCTGGTGCTAGCATGTACAGGATTTCCTGTTTCGAATTGAAGCAGACAGCAACCAGTCTACTTTTGCAGTGCTCCCGTGCATCCCTCTGCAGAGAGCAAGTCGTTTGCTTCTTGCGCAGGAGTTGCAATGACGTCAGAACAACACCAAGCTTTGATTGACTTTGATTGAAAGGACCTCAATGCTAGATTTCTCGAGGTCTACCCAGAATTTTTTTCAATCAGCCAATAAGAGCTCGGCGTTCTGGCATCATCGCAACCCCTGTGCAAGAAGCAGACAAACTCGCACTCCGCATAGGAAAAGGCGCATACATTTTGTCTCTTCACCGGAAAAAAACAAAGTCAACTTCTTTACTTGGGTTATAACAAATAGTATGTCACTTTATTAACGTTATAGAGTGTAATTCCTTTAGCCGAAGTGTTTTTTCTGATCAGGGAGCTATGTTTAACTTCACAGTATTTTAGCTTCAAGCCTATGTTCCAAAACAGGCTTGTGGAGACAAGCAATGAATCAGAGCAACAATAACAGTTAGAAGACCGTAGGGCTTGTTCTAGGAGGGCCAATATCTCGACGACGCTATTATTGATAACCTTCGAGATTTATATGTCGCTGTCGTAGGATCCTGAAATAGGCCTACAGTGTCGGACAGTGTACAAAAATGCATGCATGGAGCTATTTCAACACTGTGTTAAATGCCTTGGATCATGGGTGCATGACTTGAGGGGGGGGGGGGTGCGGTTTTTCTATGCTATTCAAGGACAACATAAAAAATTAAAGCCGTTTACGATTCCCTGTAACGCCGGTTAGAGCGCAGCTCTTGAGGAGGAGGATGGAAGCGTACTGAGGGATAGGTGACTGCTTGAGGTCACGTGACCTCAGGGGGGCTTGAGCGGCATCACCGGCAGCGACGCCACTCAAGCCGGAAGCGGGCCCCTAAGAGCTGCGCTCTGAAAAGACCAGACATTTACCAGCTTTTTTTATGAAAAAATATTTAGTTTTTCGTGACATTGCAAATATTAGGTCAACACATCTGGGCAACGCTTTCCCCATGATATCATTCTCTGTGCAGGTGCCCCCCCCCCCCCCCCCCCCCCCTCTGGCCAGTCAAATGCCCACCACGCCCCCAAGCCTTACCCATAAGTTTGCGCCTGTCTTGAATTCAAGACAAAATTACTATAACTGACCAATATTTTCGTCTACACGGCCGAGAAATATTCAAAGTTGTTTATTGCGTAAGAATTCTCCGCAAGGCTCGTCCTTATAATCAAGTGCTAGAACTAGAAAATGTGCGTACCTTTTCCTATAAAAATGCCTCACCAGAAGTCAATTTCAGACTCGAGGCGTGCCAAAGCTCGAGCAGACTTTCCTTTTCCTGTCGCTCTTTGTGGCCACTCTCTTCATGCGGTGCTCAATCCAAACACCGCCAGTGTTAGCGGAAAAATCCTTGCCAGGAACCGGGTTTACGTCAGCCTTTCTCACATGCGCAACACCTCGCCGCAGTGTCGCTGCAGGGCACGGTGATTGCGATAGGCGTCGTGGCGGGCACCCTCCTCATCGCCCTGGCGGTGTGCTGCTGCTGCTGCTGTCGCAAGCGCAGCAACGACAAGTGGCTGCGCGACATGGCCCGGATGGAGGAAGAACGCCGCCAGCGTCAAGAGCAGTCCGAGGGCCGTCGGGCCGAGCGTCGTTCCAAGACCGACGACATCCGCCGAAAGTACGGCCTCGTCAAAGAAGAAACGCCTTACACGAGGTTCGACCACTGACCTCGCAGCTGCCGCGATTTGCCGACTCTTTCAGTTCCTCGTAGTGAAGGCTGGTTCACAGATTTGCATTTGAATGGGTAGAGTGCGTTGTGACCTCTCATAACCGCTCGAACATTTCAAATTTGTGCGCAACTAGGCCAAGGGCTTTGCAGTATTTGCAAGATAACATTGATGCACCATTTATGAAAAGCGGTCGCTTATAACATTGTCAGAATTATTTCGAGTTTGCGTTAAAAGAATGGTGCATCAAAAATTATAAAAATGTGTACACAGGTCGTAAGTTTTTTGGGGGCTACCCAATAGAGGATGCCGGTGTGCAAGCGTTTACGAGAGATCCCAACACACTTGGCACGGTCAGACGCAAATGAGTGATCAGGCCTTAAAGAGCCGCGGGTGTGAAACATTCGAGGGGCCCTGCGTCGGGACGGCATTCCATCGAAAACAGCAACAACACGCCAACGGTCGTCGCAAAAAAAAAAAAAGAAAAATGAAAAAGCGGTTTTTTTTAGGGGTTTAATGAAGGCATCTTTTGAGGTTTTGCCTCTGAGCCGGTCCTATCTTTTTTTCCTCATACTTTGCACCGGTTTGTGAATGGAAGTGTAAAGTGTCTGGGAAGTTCTTATACCCCAACTGCCACTTCAACCGGCTCGTTGTTGGGGTTTGTTTGTGTTTTGCTCGTGCAACATGGACTCGTGTACGTTACAGCTGTGATCTTGTCGGCAGGAGCGACTTGGAAGCGTTTTTTTTTCCATTTGTGCCCACAATTATTGGTGCGCGCGTGTTTCCAGGGGCCCGTTTATGCATTCCGTGGCATTGTTGAATGACCCAACGATGCATTGTGACTTGTTTGTGCAGAGGTTGAAGGTGACCGAGCAATAAGCAAAAGGGAAAATTTCGAGACTGGTGTGATGTTTTCATCCCTTGCTGGTTTTGTGCCTTATCCTTGCTCCTTTAATTTTATTTTAGGGCAGTTTTTTTTTTTGTCCCTTCTGAAAATACCTAGTTTAGGTTTACAATGTGACAAATTCTGTTGGTCTTCTTTTTTATGCGTCATGCATTGTTTGCATAACCTTTGTTCTTATGCGTTATTCCATCATGGCATATATTATTTTTACCTCTCCGAAGAGATGAGATGTGCCTTCTGAGAAAATATCTGCCTTATGCAGTAGTATTATTGGAAACATTGGACGGCAGGACATTAATTGTTCTAAATCAGACATCGTAGTGTGTCCCTTAGGTATGACTTAAAGTAGGTCACAAAGCATATTCGGTATCATGGGTACCTCAGGGATTAGCATATATTGCAATGTAATAAAGGGGTACCTTAAGATTTTGCAAGCTTTGTTGAACTTCATCTACATTGTTTCAATAAGAGAAGCTCAATTTGACTCTCCTGGGCATCCAATGAAAATATGGACGTGAAATGAAGATGTTGACAAACAAAAACTTTTTGGTGTTGTCAGCACCTTCACTGCAGCAATGTTTTGCTGATAAAATGTGTGCCCATGGATAGAATGTGGTACCATGATTTGAGTTTCTTCATTTGTGATTACTTTTTCGTTACATTGCCTTTTTTTTCGCCCCTTGTTGTTTTACATTATTTCTATGTCACCACTTTGGTTGGTTCAGCACCTTTACAGAACATGCACTTCAAGCAAGCAGCAAATGGTTGAAGCATTGTGTATAATGCTTATGTTACTATACTGCCTTTTTTGGTTCTTTGTACATTGTCTTGTCACTTTTAGGTTGATACAAGAAATAATGACGCTAAGACTGATTGGTGGGGGGAGGGACTCTCGGGTATGCACTTAAGTGACGCAATGACTGTGTTTTTGGTTAATAATGAAACTAAGATTGGGACTCAAGCAGTGAGCACGGAGATATTTCTCAGAATCGTGTTGTGAGGTAGTCTGAGATACCCTTAACTATAACAGCACCGATTTGAAAGTGGTCAAGAAGTGCATGATGAAAAGTGTGTTTCCCTGAAAGTGTTTTTTTTTTCCCATGCAACATACAGCCTCATGCCCAATGACTTAATATTTCTGGCCCTGCTTCTACATAAATGGATAAAATGTGATAAGTCTTGTATCATCATATGCAGTTGTTTGTTGGTGACATAGACAGACTGGCATTATGTCCTTTAAGTCTTTGAAGCACTTTAAGTGTGTGTTAAAAGTTTTGGGTCTCTGGTCAAAAAATCCCTGCATTGTTTAATAATGTACAACTTCTACTGCTTTCTCATTTTAGTATATAGTTTCTGGAATACACGGGCAAACCTGTTTAAAACTTTGTGCAACTTTAATAACAATAATGTGAGTGTTGATCAAGGTGTTAGCTGTGAGGAAAAAGGTATCTTTTCGGCTTGGGGTTTTTATTTTGGGTAGATGAGACATTTTTGCAGAAATGGCAGGAATGTATTATGTTCATACTTATTTTTTATGCAGAGAAAAGTCACTATATGGAGGAATTTGCATGCCCAATAAAAAAGATACTTGAATGGTGATATATAGCATTTCTGGGCATCATAATAAATTACTGGGTTGGATAAAAGCATATTCCACCTACCATTTCTAGAAACCATCTTGTGTGCCTTAAATCTATATTGAACCATAGTATATAGTTCCGAACTTTGTATTGTAAGGTTTTCTACGGATGCATAATAATAAAAAAAATAATAATAATAAAAAACCGCTGCTTTGTTGTTTGGCTGCTTGGTTTTCAATTAGGCAAAAGTTGAGCACTCAGCTGCATTTATAATACTTTTGGACTCTGTGCCTGTGACATACTTAGGCTGGTGTTGCAAAACCTGTTTCGTACAGCCGTTGAACGTGAAGGCTTAGCAAGAGCATGTCAGGCAGGTCAAAAGTGCTACGGATAGAATGGCGCCTGGCTACCGTGAAAATGGGAGCAATACTTTAGTGAACCGAATTACCACAGATTGCCACTCAAAAGCTTGGGAGTTTTAACTATATCGAGTTGCAACCAGACTACACAACACTGAAAGATGCAGTCATGGGCACATGGTTTCATCTGGTCTTTGTGACACGCAAGATGATAGAGTAAACCGCATGTTCATTAAGGCAGCTTTAGCAGTGTTGTATGCTACAAATGCAAACTCCAAGCACAAATGAAAGGGGTATTGACATAGTCATGCCAGCTGAAAGAAATGCAGCGACTCTCTACCATTAAAGGGCAACTCCGCTTCATTTTTGATATTAAGAAAACTATGTAGCCCTCTTCAGTATCATATAGGAAGACCCCGTGTCAAATATTACGATCTAATTCCGTTTATATATTGAATAAACTGGCCAGCAAACCTTCAAGCGAGCCAAGTCGCCGAAATCTGCCAACTCTAGCGTGCGGCGCGAATCGCAATCACCAGCGCAGTCAATGCCACGGAGTTGGAGCGGCCAACGTTGAGCCACTACGTCAGAGGCATGCATACGTCATTCTCACGTTTTGTTTGTTTTTACTTCTCAGAGCGAAATTGAACGACGACGTCATGAGTTTCTCCTCCCGGTGTTGGCTGACCGGGCGTTCACGTGATCACCGTAACACGGATGCGCCTGGGATGCGCTGCCCTGCGCGCTTATCGGTCTGTTTCTCCGCTCCTTTTCTCCTCTTTCGTCTTCTCCCCTTCCCCCTCGCCCCCGGGCCATCACCGTCCACGCCATGCGGAGCAACCTGCCCACGTCCAATAAAAAAAAAAAAGACTACGCTCGGTTTCTTGCTCCCTACGACCCGAGACCAATGTTGCCTGACGCAACCGAAGTTTCGGTTTCGGTATCTGCTGATGTTTACATTAGGATTACACAAATAATATTCCACGTTTCGCGAATCTGAAGACGTAGAGTTGTTTAGTAGTGCTTGGTGAATGTGAATCACACGGAAGCCTAAATTTTTCGGAATTGAGCGGAGTTGCCCTTTAAAGAGTTTAACCCTCACCCTTGTCGTCACTGTAACTGGAGCATTTCCGAACTGTATTCACTCTTCTTTCATTCAGCATGGACCACCCTGCACAGAGGCCAGTAAACGTGCTAGGCTCCATAGGAACAACACTTCAGCCCTTTTGGCGTTGATGTTGCCAGTTATCTAAACCCTTATCTGACAACGCGGGAAATTCTCTTCCGTACGCCAGAAATGTTCAAACTGGCTGCGTCAGAGCTTGAGCTAAATGAAGCTCAGGAATCTAGTCGCATTTTCTAATCGTAACATTCGTCAATCCAACCCGGATAAATGGATACGGTGAACCCTCCAAATAGGGCGGCGGCTTGCGCCACCTAGCCAAAGCTTCTCATTGAAATTAATTATTCTTCGATTAAATTCGTAGCCAATGGAAAAGGGCAAACCAATCTCGTGACGCTGCTAAGCAGAAGCCATCTACTATTCCCCACGAAACTTCATTCTTCCTTCCCTCGACTTATGCCACCAGCCCGATAACCTGTGCTTGGTGATCTCAGCTTTCCCAACGTCTATTTTTCCGTCGCTGTCTTTAAAGGGATGCTGAACCAAACATTTCAGTGTCTATAATAAGTGGCGCACTATCTTTCCATGAGTCAGCAGCCGCCGGTGTGCGCGAGCACACGCAACGAAATTGACGTCATCATATCCCCCATTCAAGCAAATAGAGAGTTTTAGTAGATCGTTCCGATACCTCCGATAGCCCCGATAACGATACTATTCATGCGCAAGGGAGGCGGTGGCGGAGTATCGGGATATCGTTATCGGAGTCATGGGAACGATCTACTAAAACTCTCCAGTAAGCTTGAATGGGGGATATGATGACGTCAATTTCGTTTCGTGTGCTCGCGAACACTGACGGCTGCTGATTTATGGAAAGATATAGCGCCACTCATTCACACTAAAGTGTTTGGTTCAGCATTCCTTTAAAGCCCAAAGCCGTCACTAAATATCGCCTTAACAACTGCATGGTGAAGCCCTTTACAGTAAAGTATTAGGTGTTCAGCTATCTCCCTTTTCCTCCCCACATGCCCTGATATTTCGCTCTGTACACCCTAGTTCGTAGTGCCCCTGTCGTGGCTTCAAACAACGAGAGAGAGCTTCCCCTAGAATTGTCATAGATTCTTTCTTTAGCAATTTCTATAAGTCTCATTAAAACTTTGGTTTGGGCTAGTTGGTCCGTTATAGGTATAATGTATGTTCTTGTAATTTTAGATAACTGATTTTAATTGGGATGAAGTAGTGAAAGTTGTCAGCTTCACAGAGGCATCAGGAGGTCTCAAATTCACTGGGGAGATGCCAGATGACAAGCGCATCCAATTCTTGGATGTCATAATCAGTTTTTCTGGGGACCATTTTTGTTGGATGTATAAATCGCGTTCAAAGAAAAGCCTAGTGACGTTTGACAGTCTAAGCTCATTAAGCGGGGAATCGTTATAACCTGCCTTCAGACAGCATTCGCAAAAAGTTGTAATCACTCACCAAATGTCGACTAGCTTTGATATACAAATAAAACGGTTACGGAATGCAGCGTTCCCTTCATGGCTGATTTCTAGTGTCTGTGAAAACCTGTTTCAAAATATCAAATAAAAGAATCAATAAAACGGTAGTATCACACACACACAAAAAAAAAAAAAAAGAAGACATGCCATTCCGTACACACACAGTTTCACACAACATAAAAAAAAGATTGCCGGCAGATACAATGTTAACATTGCCTTTTCTGCCGCAAACTAGCTAAGATATGTCCGATGATGACTAGAACAAAGAAAGTTCTGTGCTCCAAGAAGCATGAAAGCCAATATACTGACTGTTATTGGCGTCATCTATTAGATGCCGCTTAGTTGCGGGAAAGTTTATATAGGAAAAATAGGATGCTGTTTCAATGACAGGGCAAGAGAACACAAACTATACATGCATCGCACCTACATCACATGATGACGTCGAACGCCGGTAAGCACCATGCTGGTGGTTGACTCGGCGGCCTTTCGCAGCGAGAGCAATGGTAAACTGCGCCGCACTCGGCTGTAGCAATTACTGCGTACCTCGACGATCGTCCAATCGTTTCGTCGGCATGGTCCGCAAGACAGAGTAGCCGTCAAGTTAGAGAAAGTATGAGTGGCAGGAAAGGGATGCGGTCGCTGATTACCGAGTTTGCGGGACGCATTTCATAGCGGCGAGCGACGGCGGCACTTTTGTACCGTTGTTTACGTTCGCGCACGCCTTTGCATCGGCTTTTGCCCGTTCGTTGTGTAGGTGGCCGTTGCCTTTCCTTACACAACGCCATTTCCACGCTTCGAGAGCAACTTCGGGGCTCCCGGCCGAGTACGGGCGAGTGTCGAGCCGCGAGCCCGGCCAGACGGCAATCGGTCGGCGGCGGCCCCCGTGTGCAAGCTCGCCGAGACGCCACCGCCGCGGCATCGGTTTGTGCCATCCGCGGGACGGTAACCTTTGCAAGGAGCGAAAGTATGCAGGCGAACCGGTTAGAGAACATCGTAATATAAACCCCGAGACAATGAGAGTTGTCTTGTCCGTTATTTGTCAAATTTGTCAGCCGCTCGTCAAATTTTAAAATGCGCAAATAAGCCTTTTTTTTTTTTTTTTGACACGACAGTTTTTTGCGTCAGAACTTTGTCGGCGGTAGGGATGGGCAGTATTTCAAATACTTTGTGTATTTTGCATTTGTATTTAATTACAAATTGCGTATTGTATTTGACGTGTGTATTTAAATACTAAAACGTGGGTATTTAAAATACAATTGTAATTAAATACAATTTTGTGGGTGAAAATACATCCCTCAAAACTACGTTCTGCAGCGAATGAAGTGTCTCTCAATCAAGCACAGCGTTTAGTGACTTTGTGATTACGGTGCTAGTCCAGGGAAAGAATAGTGACGAAATCTACGTTCACAGGCAGACAGGCTAAATAAGTGCCTGTGACAACTTAAGATGCTTTCCAGCCTGATTTCCATCCATATTTTTGCTGGAACATACTAAATGCGCGGGTCGTCCAGATTTTCGTAACAGGTGCGAGTTGCAACAGTAAACAATTCTCTAGCTAGTGTTGCGCGTCTTTGTCATCTCGGTTCTTTGTTGGTCTGTACCAAAATGTAATCGACAAAAGAAAAAAACGCTGCTTGAAGCTCTGTACTTTTTTTGATTTAGTACGTCCAAGCTGCTTATATTTTTTGTGATTATATTTCTATTACGTTACTAGCGCATTGCACACTAACTCCCGAGTGTGCGATGCAAAATTAAAATGAAATACCCAGAAACCCGTTGCAGGTGCCCTGAAGTCGCTGACGCAAATTTTGAGGAATGTATTTGGAAATGTATTTAGAGGAGACCAAATACATTTGGTTGTATTTGTATCTTGTACTTAAATGCTTGTTTGGAAATGTAATTAGGTTTGTAATTAAATACATTTCGACGAAGAATTTTGTATTTATATTTCGATACATATTTGCATATATTTTGCCCATCCCTGGTCAGCGGCATATCGAAAGTTTCCGCTCGTAGCACAATCGCAGCAACGCCGAAAAATCCCGCACGTACCGTAAGCTCGGCACGTTTTTCCAAGTTCACATGTAACACAATTAGGTACCTCTGTTGAAAATATGGTGCACGTCAGCGCATGTACGGGCAGTTAGCGGCGTCCTACCCTTGGTAAGCGCATCCGCGCGGTGTGAAGTCACACCGCGCGTCCTTCATTAGCGTGACGTCACTTGCAAGGCATGT